ATAGAATGAAGAAAATATTACATCTATATAATAAAAAAGGTATACCTGAAAGAAATCTTTGGCTACCAACATTCTGCAAAATATCTTCTTTTGTGCTCAACAGAAGAACTTTTGGGTGACTAAATGAACTTGAGGGTGACTAAATGATGACACAATTTCCATTTTTGGGTGAACTTTCCCTTACGTAAGCAGTTTTAGTATAAGTACAAGGAGTACTGCAGTGAAGGTACAAGTAGTTTTATAAATTTACATAAACATATTTGCATACTATACTTTATGTAAATATGTAAAATATCCCATATATTGATTAGGTCAAATGGATTAACCCTGACAAAAGTCCTTGATATTCATGAAATTAATGATATTCTTTTTAAAATATATGATTATTTACATAATTATCATGTGTAGGCTACACCCATGATTGTTTATTTACTTATTATTGAACATGCAGGTATTTTCATTCTTAGAGGTGTGTTAGTTAAATGAAAATAAATAAAAATAAGTAGAATGAAGAAAATATTACATCTATATAATAAAAAAAATGTATACTTGAAAAGAAAATGACACATTTTTTTTTAGGCCTATAGTATTCAATGGCTGACTGTAGTAGGTGATTTCATATAATAATGTAAATGTAAACTCAATACTTGTCTGAATTTCAACATTATAATGGAATCATAAGCTACTAGTTAAAAAGAGAATTAGGGTCCTTGACCAATTAGTATGAAACGCATCCAAACTGGATAAAGGGGTCTCAATATTTTGCCCCTTACAATACAATGTCATACAAGGGAGAAAAAGATCATCTACAGCAATTAATCCCATGCGTTAGCTCTTTATCTTTCCATTCTTCCTTTTGTGTGACTGACTGAAGTTTGTAAACTGCTGCTGTATGTCAGTTAAAGGGTTAAGTTATGTTTTAGGTTGGATATTATAAGAGCAAAAAGCAGAAAACAAGACCAATAACCTTGATTTATTAACCTATTAACACAGTATACCCCATTTCCCCATGATATGTACTTACAAGTTGCCGGTGGGCTTAAATGGGTTAAACCTCTACAGTCACATGATAGAGTACAGCACCCTGCCACTGCCAGCCAGATTAAACCCGTAAAAATAGTCCCCTATGACTGAACCTGTACAAATCATGTAATCTGCCACCAGCCAGCGCAAATTCGAACCGCCTTTCCAGGATTACGTCACGTGCAACAAGACTGTCAGAACAAGTCTAACTCTTGTGTAATCGGCTCATCCTGTTAACGCATAACATGATCCATTATCAAAAAAATTTCTGATTTGTTCTACTGAACTTGACATTTCTCACCTAGCAGTGACGAAAGAGTTAGCAGGACAACTGACATTCATAGGATGTGCATAATTCAGATCACTGTTTACTCATGATACTTCCTTTGCTAATTAAAACTAAATTAATCCCACATGATTTATTAATCCTGATATATGTATAGCGGTCACAGTGTAGTGTAAGGCAACCAAAAAGTGCTTCATCAAACACAAAGAATATTATGAAAACTAACACTTTAAGACCCTGCCCCAGTCCCAAAGAAGTTAGTTCAACAACTTCTTGCACCCAATCAGGAGGCCATGATGGCCAGTGTATTATCACCACCATCCACTATTTATCCCTGCTGAACAGACTGTAATGCCATACTCAGGAACTCGCCATGCTTGAAGTGAAGGTGATGCAAGGACGGATTAGCGTGCTAATTTACAACTAGCCTGATGTCTGCTAAGAGGTCAGCAAGGTTTTTAGCGTAAGAGGGCACGCACAAGCCGGCTTTTCCAACATACTGGATTACACTGGAGCAAAGCCATTAGTCTTGCAGCCTTTATAAACCGTTGGTTTCATTCATGCCTCTTGAATGTTATCAGGTCACCTGCAACACATGGACAGAGGCCCAAGCTTAAAGCCATTTTTTCCCTTTGATATCTTTCCTGTGATTCCTCTACTGGCTTTAAGCTCAGTTGATGATTTGGAAAGATATTTGCCTCTTTGGTCTGTCAAGACTTGAGTAAGGAATCTCTAAATTACCACAAATGTAAAAATGCAGATGCACATAGATTAACATACAAATGTTGAGATGATACTCCAATACACTTAAATATGTAGGGCTCCAAAATAAACCAGGACTGAATTACATTGAGGGGCACAAGTGTCCCCTCAGCTGTCCTTGGCTCAGACTCAAGTACAACTCTGGAAGTCCAACAGGGTATGAGGTTGCATCTTAAGAAAATAAAATACTGCCCGACACTCAGGAACATTTTCAAAGGCATGTGAGAAGTCTAGCCTCTGAATAAACACTTGGACACTTCCAAGTGACAACTCTCGGCAGTGCAGTTTGAAGGTGATGTAAGTGATTTGTTTCAATACTATGCATAAAATGCCCACTACTCTTACTGTCTTAGGAAATCACTGCAATTTCTGACAGTCCAAGACTCTCTAAGCTGTATAAAAGGCCTTAGAGGGCTTTCTGCCTGCGAATCATTCTGCTAGTTCAGTTTGCTGACATGTTTTTAAAGGGTGGGGACAGAGTTTGTTTGAATTTAGGAACAGGGCGGAAGCCATCCAAACGGCTGAATCACAACACCTGTAACGCAAGATAAATAGGTAGAAACAAAAAACCACAAGTTACGGTGTAGGTTCATTCAGTGGGTCTTTATTGTTGCATTGACTAAAAACAGACCGGCTGGAAAACAGGTAGATTTTAGTACCTGGCATTCTTTCTTTTTGGGAACGACAGTATGGTGAGGGGAACAAAAAGAAAAAATAAGAAACCGGGGCAAAAGAAAACCGCAAAAACAATTTCCCCCAGTACAACTAGTACTGACATACTAGTTGGTCCCTATAAATAAGGCGGAATTTAAGAGTCCTTCCAAATTTACAAGATATGTTACAGTTAAACATCTCACATTGAATGGTGGGCTGGAACGCTTAAATGACCTTTTTCAGCTCATCATACAAGACCAGCACAAAGGCACCACCCATGCCTCTGAGAACATTGGACCAGGCTCCCTTGAAGAAAGCCTTGCCACCCTCATCACGTGCGATCTTCTTCCAGCAGTCAATTGTGCCACTGTACATGATGTCGGCTGCAATAAAAGAAAACAAATGATCAATCCACTGCTTTATCTTGTCAACTTACTGGAAAGGTCTTAAAAGTGGTAACTGACCTCCTTTGCGTCCAGACTGCATCATCATACGACGACGGACTGTATCGAAGGGGTAGGATGCAATACCAGCAACAGCAGTCACAGTCTGAGCGATCATCCAGCTGACAACAATGTGGGTGTTTTTGGGATCTGGCAGCATACCTAAAGATGAAAGAGCAGATGTAGTGAATGCAGCAATGGCACACATTAACGACGATACCCCAAATGCAACTCAAACTCACCCTTGGCTGTGTCATAGATGCCGAAGTAGGCAGCTCTGTAAATGATGATACCCTGCACGGACACATTGAAGCCCTGGTACAGACCTCTGATGCCATCAGACTTGGAGATCTTTACCAAGCAGTTACCCAGGCCGCTGAACTCTCTTTCTGCTCCAGCCTTGCCGACATCAGCGGCCAGACGGGTTCTTGCGAAGTCGAGGGGGTAGACGAAGCAGAGGGACGTGGCACCAGCAGCACCACCTGAGGCCAGGTTACCAGCGAAGTACCTCCAGAACTGGGTGCGCTTGTCTATACCATCAAGGAAGATCTTCTTGTACTTGTCCTTGAAAGCAAAGTTGAGGGCCTGGGTGGGGAAGTATCTGATGACATTTGCCAAGTTTCCTCTCCAGAACGACAGGAAGCCCTGCTCCTTGGGAATACGCACCACGCAGTCAATAATGCCCTTGTACTGCTTATCCACTGTAATCTGTTTGCTAGCATGTTGCACCTGTAAACACAGAAAGAAAAAAAAATCAATGAATGCACACAATACAATGGAAAACAGTGATTTAAGTTGATAAATTGAAGCCTCCACGATTACAAATGTCCCAAACTGAAGCAACTTAAACTGAATTAAATTGGTTTAAAACCAGTTTCTTCTTTATAGAACAAAACCAAGGAGGAACCACGAACACGGGATTATGCTAAACGATAAAAAGCCGGCAACGAGTAAAATACTAGATATCTTCCGGTAGGCGGTTTCCGTAAAACTAGCCGAAATTGTCCGCAAAAAAATTACATTCTTGTAAAACGGTGTGAAAACTAGAAACATGCCATATTACATCAAAATGTTAATATATGATACACCCATAAAACAACGTGTCCTTTTAAACAATACCTGGGACTTCGTCGTTCTGGGACGCGAGCGTTAGCTTGCAAGCTAGCAATAAAGGCCTAGCTATTCACAGGCCTCCCCTTCTCGCGACCTTGGCGAGATCTGTGAGGATGCTGGTTTACCGTGTTTCGCGGAAGCGTTTTAAAAATACGCCTTTTTTTAAATCCATACTAAAGGAACAAACCCATTCAGCTCTGTTAAATTCCAGTCGAATGCTCGCTGACTGGTAAGAGCTTGAGGCATTTCTCAGGATGTTCTCTCGAGGAGGGTTGGTAAAGGTTAAGGAGCACTTAAGGCCTAACGTAGTCGATCTTTTAACGAATTATTCAACGACCAACTCGATTTTAAACGGCTCAGAGTGTACCAAAACATCCTTTACTCACACAAAGATTAAGATTCTCATTTAGTCAAGACGTTCACCATTTCGTTAGGCTCTCTCTATTCAATGATCAATTAAACATTAATTAAAATACCGCCGATAAAAATCTGAAAATGCTCTTGGGCTTTATTTAAATCATAAACTCTTCTAGGATTACACTGTGCTTGTTGTATTCACATTTTAGTCTATTATGTATTCTAATTTCTTAAAAATCTGGGATTATATAATCCCGATAATATTACTACGTATATTTACCTGAAGCAGCAGCTTGACTCTCTCGATGGGGGCCACGGCGGTTTTAGAGATAGCAGCGGCAATACCACCGGCCAAGAAGTCCTTGGCGAAAGAGATGGCGGTCTCGTTCATTGTCGGATGTTCTTGGAGAGGTGTAGCTTGAAGATGTCAATCCCGCTCTGCCGCAGGACTAGCGTTGAATGCCGGCTGATTCGAAATGGCCGAATGAGAAGTTGAGAAGAGATTCTTAAAAGGTTCGTCTCGCGAGAGCTTACGTATAGATGTTCTTGGGAGAGGTGTAGCTTGAAGATGTCAATCCCGCTCTGCCGCTGGACTAGCGTGGAATGCCGGCTGATTCGAAATGGCCGAATGAGAAGTTGAGAAGAGATTTTTAAAAGGTTCGTCTCGCGAGAGCTTACGTATCTAACGCTTCTATGATTTGATTGGACCGTCGACTAAACGTCAGCTTCCAGGAGGCGGGGCCATTTATGATGATGACGGAGATGAATGGCTCAAAGTTAGAAAGGTAACCTCAAGCCTTCTCAAGGTGGAAAGCGTAAATGACAACAGGAAGTTTTTAAAACATAGAAAAATGTGTTTCCAATTAGTCAATAATTCATGAGTAATAATATTTAAAACATACTTTTTTGCTCCGATTCTGATGCACAATGACAATTCAATACAGCAAGAGAATCAGGATTGTCCAGTTTTTCGTTTCAGCTGTCAAACCAAGAAGCAGTTCTCCAAGGTGACATAGCATGCATGTTTGTCACTAGCTCGATCGCTGACTGTCTTTAGTTAATGATCTCCAAGGGCATATGTGTAAAAGAAAAAAGGCCAACATGTCAGTACAAAGTCCTTCACATGCCTTTTGACTGTGTGGCAAAGCAAGTGATCCATTTGGGAACATGTGACTACACAACGCAATGCAAAATCAATACTATCTGCATCACTACCAATTCTACTAATGCAATTCAATTTTGTTTGTATTATATAATACTATTATACAGCAGATAATAACATGACAAGTATAACATTTGACAATAAGGACTAAGATATGTTTATTTCTTATACTTCATAATTTTTACAATGTGCTTAAAGATTTAATCTTAACATGTGCCACATTTTAAAAATGCCTTGATATTTCTTGATATTTATAAACAAATCTTGTCCTTTTCACAGCTGAATCGGAGTCAGTGGTTACTGGGTTACCATGTGTCCAGATCAGCATGATGTACACTCCACTACAATGCACATTCAAAATCATACTGCCATATATGATCAAATATGCAAATGCAAAAACTATGACTTTAAAAGCATGTGATTTATAAATAACAGAAGACTTTTAAAAAGGCCCAAGAGCTAAAATCCAGTAAAAGACCAATACTTTGTTTGACAAAGGCATTGCTCTATACTGTTGAAATTATGTTCAACATATTTCTTGAGAAGTGATTAAAACAGAGGTTTTACATTTCCACAGTTCATAAAAACACTCTTTCGGTGGAGTGCAAGTCTGTAAGTCTGATGTGTTTGAGGTACTGTAGAATGTACGAAATGAACTTGTTTCAAGTATGCATGTGCAGAATCCTTAATATCGGAAGTTAAATACAATAAGAGGTACAACTGTGAATAATACATCGTGCCTTCCAGCAGTACAAACACCTTATACTCATTATCAATGCACTTCTCAGAGTTCTGTTTATTACTGATAACTCCTCTTGGATTAGTTACCAGCGGTTTCCTATGGATGAACTCTGTGCTTTGTGTGATTTTCTGTTTCTCAGGTAGCGCTTAAACTCCTGCAGTTCATATGGGCCTAGGCTCTGGTCCACGCCTGGTTTAGGCTTGTAGCTTAGTGGAGAAATTATGTAGCCATTCCGGTAAAGGCAGACTTGCTTACACATCTCAGAGCAACTGAAAAGCAGGCCAAAATATGGGACAATCTGTAATGTCAAAATAAAACATAATATTAGTTACAAGGAAGTGGAAATGTATTATTTATATAAGGCGTTTCCACAAACACCCATTAAAAATATTTAAGCATGTTATTTCATGCAGAGGCCGCTCAAGAAACTCATGGTACAATTTGTTGTATTGATTTCATATAGTGCAAGAAGCAGACTGTTGTTCAGGAAATGTTTGTGTAATACAACCCTGTGAGTTTTTTTATGAAATATAAAACTTTGTAGAACCATCTAAGATGGCTTTGTTAAATATGAGATCACTGTCTAAGAAGACTTTTATTTTGAATAATTTTATTACATCTCTTGATTTAGATTTTTTGTTCCTGATGGAAACTTGGTTAAAGAATGAAGAGCATACCCAATTTCATGAGTTGTGTCCTCAAAATTATAAGTATTTTAGTAAGCCGAGGCCTAGTGGTTGAGGTCGAGGCATTGCTGTTGTTTTTAAAGAGTGTTTTATATGTTCAGAGCAAACTGTTTCAGTTTTTTCTTCTTTTGAAGTTTTGCAGTTTAAAGGGGTCATATGATGCTTTTTTAAAGATCATTATTTTGTGTATTTGGTGTAACAGAATATGTTGACATGCTTTAATGTTCAAAAAACACATTATTTTTAAAATACTGTACATTATTGTAGGTCCTCTATGCCCCGCCTCTCTCAAACGCTTCGTTTTCTACAAAGTCCCTCCTTCCGACAAGCGCAGTCTGCTCTGATTGGCCAGCTGACCCAGTGCATTGTGATTGGCCGAACACCACAAGCACTCGTCGGAAATGTAACGCCCCTTACCATAATCGCGAGCTTCATCTTTCAAAATAAATGTAAAGACAGTAAATAATGTCATTAGTTTTACCATCAGTTCAAGCCCGAAAGGGGAACAGAGTCGCGTGACAGACACAGTGATGAAGCTGGTATGTGTGCAGTACACAAGCCACGGTTAAGACAGCTGACTCCACTGTGATGTGACCCTGTCTCTCTCTCCAGATTGTCATAGTAAAGTCAGAATTACCTCCTCTCCTAGTTTCACGAAACGGTCGTCCATAAAATGCATTGCTGTTCTGTTGTAAGTAATCTTAAAGATTCCTAAATGCATCTACTTTCGGAAGGCCAAATAAAGTGCTTTTGCTTTCGCCTAGAAACACACAGCGTCTCCCTGACATGGCTGCTTCAACACTAACTGCGGTTACTGAAACCACGCCTTCTTTCTTTGCATGCACATTTGGGCGGCATTATGCAAATATTTCCACATAGTGAGGTAGATATGTGGGGGCGTGTTAGAACGAGCCGTTTTAGGGGGGTGTGGCAGAGTCTTAACTTTGTTAAAGAATATCTCTTTGGTTTTGAGACTTTAGTCTTTGCAACTTCAGGGATCTTATCTATGCACAATCAGCTTGTAACACTCCAAAGAGAAAGGAAAACTTGAAATCGCATCATATGACCCCTTTAAGATATTGGGATAAAGAACCAATACTTTGTTGTGTGATCTATCATCCCCCAAATTTTAATTCTCATTTTAAAAAAGAATTTTCTGAAATGCTTTCTGATTTAATTTTAAGTTATGATAAGATGATTATTGTTGGAGATTTCAATTTTCATGTTGATAGGGTGAATGATTATGCAGCTGATGAATTTTTAAATATTACTCAATATTTCAATTTAGTACAACATGTGTCAAAGTTCTACACATAGTCATGGTCATACATTGGATTTGGTTTTTACTCTTGGACTGGCACCTAATATTTTTATAATAGAGGATAGTGCGATATCAGATCATAAAAGCATTGTTTTTAATGTTCAACTGGCCGTAGAAAGGAAAAAATTTAAGACACGTGCTACTTATTTATCTCGTGTTATTAACGCTGAAGTTGTTGATAAATTTTCTGAAAATTTTAGTGTTTTAACGGATGACTGGGCATATGATGCAACTACAGTTGATCAGTTGAATGATTTTAATTATCTTTGTTCTTCAATATTAGACTCAGTGGCCCCAGTGAAAATAAAAGCAAGGTCATTAGTAAATCAAGTACCATGTATAAATGAGGATATTCGTATATTAAAGAGAAAGTGTTGGAAAGCAGAACGAATTTGGAAATCTACTAGACTTCATGTGTATTTTGAGCGTTGAAAAGGGTTTATTGGTGTCTTTTAATTAGACAGTTAAAGCTGCGAGATCTGCTTATTTTTCTAATTTAATTGACACCAACCATAACAATTCTAGGTTTTTATTTAATGTAATTAACGATTTGACAAACCCGCGGCCTAGTATTGCGTTGAGTCCTATAGATCTTTTATGTCATTTTTTGACAAGGTCGCAAATATAAGGGCTTCAATTTCCCCTCCTTTGGTTCAATGTGAGGATAATCCAGGTTGTAGGGAGGTATTGTTGGATTCCTTTTCACCTGTATCAGAGCAGGATATTTATGAGATTGTGCAACAGTTGAAACCTTCAAGTTGTTTTAATGATGTGGTTCCTGTAAGACCGTTTAAAGACTGTTGGGGGGAAGTCGTGGCCTAATGGTTAGAGAGTCGGACTCGTAACCCAAAGGTTGCGGGTTCGAGTCTCGTACCGGCAGGGATTGTAGGTGGGGGGAGTGAATGTACAGTGCTCTCTCCCACCTTCAATACCACGACTGAGGTGCCCTTGAGCAAGGCACCGAACCCCCAACTGCTCCCTGGGCGCCGCAGCAAAAATGGCTGCCCACTGCTCCGGGTGTGTGTTCACGGTGTGTGTGTGTTCACTGCTGTGTGTGTGCATTGATGGATTAAATGCAGAGCACTAATTCCTAGTATGGGTAACCATACTTGGCCACATGTCACATCACTTTAAAGAAGTGGTTGGATCTATAGGTCCTATTCTACTGTCTATAGTGAACAGTTCTCTTGTTTCTGGATGTGTTCCGGAGGCTCCTGAAGAAGCCTTCATTAGATTCTGCAGTGGAATCTAATAAAATTACTGAAAATAATTATAGACCTATCTCTAAACTACCTTTTATTTAAAAAAAAAAAAATTGAAAAGGCAGTAGCGAAGCAATTGCTGAAGGTCGTTTATTAGAATAATATTTTTGAGAAATTTGTCTGGTTTTAGAGCAGACCATAGTACTGAAACTGCTCTTTTACGAGTGACTATTGATTTATTGATGGCAGAGGATGCTGGTGAATGTTCAGTTTTAGTTTTATTAGATTTGACTGCAGCTTTTGATACAGTTGATCATTCTATTTTAATTAATACGAAAACATGGGTCGGGGTTTCGGGGACGGCGTTGGATTGGTTTGTGTCTTATTTGTCAAATAGGACATTTGTAGTGTCAGTTGCAGATGAAGTATCCCAACGCTCTGAAGTTGTATGTGGAGTTCCACAGGGATCCCCGTTAGGACCAATTTTATTTTAAATTTACATGCTTCCATTAGGTGCTGTAATCCGAAAACATAATATAAATTTTTACTGTTATGCAGATGACTTACAGTTATACTTATCATTGAGTTCCAAGGATCTGAATAGTCTTGATGTCCTTCAAGCATGTTTAATAGATTTAAAAAATTGGATGGCTTTAAACTTTCTGCAATTAAAAACTGAAAAAATTAAGTTGTGATAATTGGTCAGAGCTCAAGTAAAAATCAGACTGAGCTTGCTCTAAATAGGGTTTTTCCGAATATTAAGCAGGTAGTAAGAAATTTGGGTGTTTATTTCGATACTAATTGAAACTTTGAATTTCATGTCAAGAAGTTGGTTCAGTCTTGTTTTTATCAGTTAAGAAATATTTCTAAGGAGAGATGGTTTTTGAATTTTAATGATACAGAGAAGCTTATTCAGCTTATTCATTCTTCCTGTCTTGACTATTGTAATGCCTTGTTTTCTTCTTTGAATCATCGTAATTTATCGAATTTATCGCTGGTGCAGAATGCTGCAGCCAGATTAGTGACACGAACAAAGTTATTTCATCATATTACACCTGTTTTAGCTTCTTTACATTGGCTACCTGTTTATTTTAGGATTGATTTTAAGATTCTTTTATTGACATATAAAGCTTTAAATGGCTTGGCACCTTTGTATTTAGCTGAACTTCTGAGACCGTACGAAACAGGAAGATGTCTTAAATCTTCTTTTAATGAATTGCTGGCAGTTCCAAGAACTAGATATAAAACAAAAGGAGATAGGGCATTTGCAGTGAGGGCTCCAAAACTATGGAATAGTTTGCCGTGGATATTAGATCATCTGAATGTGTGTCTGTTTTTAAATGCCGCTTGAAGACATACATGTATAGATGTGCTTTTAATATTTTGTGTATTTTTGGGTTTGATCTTTTTTTGCTTTATCATATATTGTATATAGCTCTTCATAAATGTATCTTTTATGATTGTGTTTTTATATTGTGTAAAGCACTTTGTGCGTTGTAGCTTTAAAAGTGCTATATAAATAAAATTTTACTTACTTTACTTACATTTACACAGAAAACATACGGTGCTTGGGTTATTTTTATCTCTGTCACCACGTAAGCATATAAAACACCTTCATGTCACCTTCACCATGTTGGCTGTAAGGCCACTCCAAAGAGCCATGACGCCCTTGTTCTTGATGACCTGTCTGAAGCAGTCTATCATTCCATTAAAATGGACATCAACTCCTCCACGATGGGGCAAAAGAAGACTCTGGGCCTAGAGTAAAGATTGAAGAAATATTCCTGATCATTAAGAAATAATTGCATACTTGCATAAGATTCCATAAGAGAATACTGACACTGTTGTTTATAAACAAGAATAAGCTAAAATGTTCAGTTTATATTTAATTCATGAACATTTGTTTTCCAGTAACAACTGATTTCCCTACCGTACCGCATTCACCTAAATGTATCTACCCTTAAACCCTCTTGATGTGTGTTCTGTGGGCTTTGTTTACTGTGTCTATAGAGACTTTGTTTAGCACCAAACTGAAAGTCTCAGAACATTTAGCAGCTTTGGAAGGTTTATTCCTGACATTGCAATTTAACTTACAAAAGCAGCTTTTTGTTTCTAGTTTAGCAAAACAATGCATAAAGGAACCAGATCAGATACACCATTATGTGTATTGTATGTGAGAGGTCAACTATCTTTAGACAATTTATCTTTGGCATAGACAGACGCTGGACACTATGTACATTCTCAGCTGCTGCAGGGCCTTGTGTCCTTCATAATGGTGTCCTGCATGTGACCTGTTGCAAAAACTATTTAGAATTCAAATTCATGTTTCTTTAAAACATTTGAACATTTCATTCTTAACATAAATGAACAAAGGGGCCACAGCCAAGTTAAAAAGGTATGAATTTCTAACAAATTTAGGGACTCAAGTCTGCGACATAGGTAATATCGTGCTCAATAGATTCTCACCTGCATCTTCTTTTTGACAGATTCAAAGGGGAAGGAGAGCGTCTGAGCGACTCCTACTGCAAGACAGCCATTGATGAAGTTCTGCAAAGATGTGAAGCGAACATGACGCTCCTGCCACAGGTTATCCAAATTGACATACACCGCATAGCAGCCAATGGAGAAGGGAACAGCATCTACAGTAATCCAAACATTAAGTTCCATTAACTTTTCAAGCAGAATTATCCCAACGCTCTGAAGTTGTATGTGGAGTTCCACAGGGATCCCCGTTAGGACCAATTTTATTTTAAATTTACATGCTTCCATTAGGTGCTGTAATCCGAAAACATAATATAAATTTTTACTGTTATGCAGATGACTTACAGTTATACTTATCATTGAGTTCCAAGGATCTGAATAGTCTTGATGTCCTTCAAGCATGTTTAATAGATTTAAAAAATTGGATGGCTTTAAACTTTCTGCAATTAAAAACTGAAAAAATTAAGTTGTGATAATTGGTCAGAGCTCAAGTAAAAATCAGACTGAGCTTGCTCTAAATAGGGTTTTTCCGAATATTAAGCAGGTAGTAAGAAATTTGGGTGTTTATTTCGATACTAATTGAAACTTTGAATTTCATGTCAAGAAGTTGGTTCAGTCTTGTTTTTATCAGTTAAGAAATATTTCTAAGGAGAGATGGTTTTTGAATTTTAATGATACAGAGAAGCTTATTCATGCTTTTATTTCTTCCTGTCTTGACTATTGTAATGCCTTGTTTTCTTCTTTGAATCATCGTAATTTATCGCGCTTACAATTGGTGCAGAATGCTGCAGCCAGATTAGTGACACGAACAAAGTTATTTCATCATATTACACCTGTTTTAGCTTCTTTACATTGGCTACCTGTTTATTTTAGGATTGATTTTAAGATTCTTTTATTGACATATAAAGCTTTAAATGGCTTGGCACCTTTGTATTTAGCTGAACTTCTGAGACCGTACGAAACAGGAAGATGTCTTAAATCTTCTTTTAATGAATTGCTGGCAGTTCCAAGAACTAGATATAAAACAAAAGGAGATAGGGCATTTGCAGTGAGGGCTCCAAAACTATGGAATAGTTTGCCGTGGATATTAGATCATCTGAATGTGTGTCTGTTTTTAAATGCCGCTTGAAGACATACATGTATAGATGTGCTTTTAATATTTTGTGTATTTTTGGGTTTGATCTTTTTTTGCTTTATCATATATTGTATATAGCTCTTCATAAATGTATCTTTTATGATTGTGTTTTTATATTGTGTAAAGCACTTTGTGCGTTGTAGCTTTAAAAGTGCTATATAAATAAAATTTTACTTACTTTACTTACATTTACACAGAAAACATACGGTGCTTGGGTTATTTTTATCTCTGTCACCACGTAAGCATATAAAACACCTTCATGTCACCTTCACCATGTTGGCTGTAAGGCCACTCCAAAGAGCCATGACGCCCTTGTTCTTGATGACCTGTCTGAAGCAGTCTATCATTCCATTAAAATGGACATCAACTCCTCCACGATGGGGCAAAAGAAGACTCTGGGCCTAGAGTAAAGATTGAAGAAATATTCCTGATCATTAAGAAATAATTGCATACTTGCATAAGATTCCATAAGAGAATACTGACACTGTTGTTTATAAACAAGAATAAGCTAAAATGTTCAGTTTATATTTAATTCATGAACATTTGTTTTCCAGTAACAACTGATTTCCCTACCGTACCGCATTCACCTAAATGTATCTACCCTTAAACCCTCTTGATGTGTGTTCTGTGGGCTTTGTTTACTGTGTCTATAGAGACTTTGTTTAGCACCAAACTGAAAGTCTCAGAACATTTAGCAGCTTTGGAAGGTTTATTCCTGACATTGTAATTTAACTTGCAAAAGAGGAAAAAGCTGAATTTTTGTTTCTAGTTTAGCGAAACAAAACATATAGGAACCAGATCAGATACACCATTATGTGTATTGTGTGTGAGAGGTCCGCTATCTTTAGATAATTTATCTTTGGCATAGACAGACGCTGGACACTATGTACATTCTCAGCTGCTGCAGGGCCTTGTGTCCTTCATAATGGTGTCCTGCATGTGACCTGTTGCAAAAACTATTTAGAATTCAAATTCATGTTTCTTTAAAACATTTGAACATTTCATTCTTAACATAAATGAACAAAGGGGCCACAGCCAAGTTAAAAAGGTATGAATTTCTAACAAATTTAGGGACTCAAGTCTGCGACATAGGTAATATCGTGCTCAATAGATTCTCACCTGCATCTTCTTTTTGACAGATTCAAAGGGGAAGGAGAGCGTCTGAGCGACTCCTACTGCAAGACAGCCATTGATGAAGTTCTGCAAAGATGTGAAGCGAACATGACGCTCCTGCCACAGGTTATCCAAATTGACATACACCGCATAGCAGCCAATGGAGAAGGGAACAGCATCTACAGTAATCCAAACATTAAGTTCCATTAACTTTTCAAGCAGAATTATGAGAGATCCAGAAGTAATATTATTAATTAGAAGGTTATGAGCTTTCTATTTCTTGGCAATATACCTGATTCAGTTAATAATAGGAATAAATATTTACTCAAGATTCTACTAGCAGCAGCAAAAAAAAGCGATTACTCGTCTATGGCTCCAGCAGCCTCCCCCAACAAGAACTCAGTGGGAACAAATAGTTACAGAAATTTACAAGATGGAAAGACTGACATTCAGGTTGAGACTGCAAGAAGAGACTTTTAAGAAACACTGGGGAAAATGGACAATCTATATATCAAAACAGAGAGAAGACAGATATATGCCAAATTGGAATATGTATATTCATTCATGTAAATGTAACTAGGATCAACGGCTGCTTGATAGTACGCCTACGGAAATTAGTATTATGTTTATGAATGTATGACCACAAATATTCACGTATACATGCTTACAAATATTGGCTTATATTGTAACCAGTTGACCAGGCCAAAATTTCTTTCACTTTTTGTGTTATACTTTGGAGAAATATGTATGTATATACCCATGAAGGAGTGTTGTTTGTTTGTTATTATGTTGAAGTTCAATAAAAAATAAAAGTAAAAAAAGTTTATGAGCTTGGTTTTGATGTTTCTAAATATAGGTTATAAGGTGGACAGTAGAAGTATTTTTACTTTACTCAGTACATTTAAAAGGTATCTGTACTTTATCAGTGCTTTTCTTTGGAAAACTTTAACTTCACTACATTCCAAAGCATAATGTCGTACTTTATACTGCACTACATTTCATAAGTAAAAGTTGTTGTTTTTTTACCTTTAATACTTAAGAACAATAAAAATGTAGTAGTTTCTTGTACTTGTTTTCTCGTTTACTTGAGTAAAAGTATGAAAGTACTAGATTTCTAATGTAATTAAGTATTAAATTATATTTAATATGAAACATAGTGCAGTAAAAAGTACAATATTATGCTTTGGAATGTTGTGAAGTAAAAGTTTTCTAAAGAAAAACACTTGATAAAGTATAGACACTTGAAAAATTTACTTTTAAAGCAGAGTAAAACTACTTCACTACTGTCCGCCTCCTTAATTTGATTATTCTGAGGTGGAAACGGTCAAAATACATACCTAACACTGTGAGGGAAAAGCCCCTGTAGAGAGCCTGAAGTCCTTCATTTCTGTAGATGGTGGAGAGAGAATGCAGCAACCCTCTGTATGTTGGTTCTTGGCAATTCTGAGCAATAAGTCTGGTTTCAACCACCTCCAGTGGATATGTTGCTAGAGCGGCAGATATGCCTGCCAGCCCACCGGCTACTATGGCTCTCCATTGCGAGATATCACCCTGTTCATCAACGTGAAGGTGGACAATACTGCCAAAAATAGAATGAAATGAATAGTTGTGATATTGCATTATAGCATAATATCATTACCACAGAACCTAAGTTTAGAGTACCAGTCCAATCAACCAGATACATGATCTAACTGATATTAAAAACCTAATTATCTAAAGGCTAAAATTTAGACTACGTAGGCTATAAATGTATGTAATCTTAACAAAAAAGGACATTATCTATTTTCCTATTATTTGTTTTGAATGACTAAAAAGGATATGAGCATATTAGAATCAGCATAACAGAATTATTTCTGAAGAATCATGTGACCCTAAAGTCCAGAGTAATAGCTGCTGAAAATTCAGCTTTGCCATAGAAAACTGTTTAGTTACATTTTATTAATATTTTACAATATTACTGTTATATTATAAAGGCTTACTTCTTTGGGACTAAAATGTGTAAATGATTAGAAAAATAGCCTAAATCTAAACTTCATCAGTTTAATAGAAAATTAAATTGTAAGTAGTGCTGTAAATAGTCATTTTTTGTGTATTGTGTGTATTGTTGGTATTATATGTACAATATAAATATATAATTATAGATTAATACAGTATTAATAGTATTACTAGTATTACTAATAAAAATGTTATCCTTTACTAAAATGTGTATTATTAATCAATGACATAAGCTTGCATTCGAGAGGTACACATATATTCTTTTCATAGGAACAGTGTGATCAAAACAGGTCGGAATACACCCTCCACTCTTTTTCCTGGAATACTGGAACACTATGTACGGGTCTTTCTAAAACAGTTTCCGGTGTCTCGGCGTGTGAAAATACACGTGACCAGTATAACAATAATGAAGTACTTCTGAAAGCCCCCTCTGATGGGCGTTGCTAAGTGCATAGTTCATTACCATAGAAACACTACAGCTGAAATTGGCGTTTCATGAACGCACAGAATTAAGGCCACGCCCATTGCAGCTTCATCGTGCTGGTTTTCTGAGCTACATGATTGGTCAGGAAATGAAGGCGTGATGTGTTACGTCACGTTGAGGCTTATGAAGAAAAAGGGGACATTTAAATGATAATTTCTTTAAACGATCTATTGTAAATGTAACTTCTTAACCCGACAAGAACTCAGTGGGAACAAATAGTTACAGAAATTTACAAGATGGAAAGACTGACATTCAGGTTGAGACTGCAAGAAGAGACTTTTAAGAAACACTGG